ATCCTTAGAAATTTTGCGGGGGCGAATGGTAGATCATAAACGTTCGCAAGTATACATGAAATTCATTTACTTTATTATGATCTATACATGTTTTTCCTCGTGGTATAATAGCCTACCAAGCTGCAGTTGCACAATTTTACTTTCTGTACGTCTTCAAGAGATATTCGCTTTTCAGTTGCGTGTTCCATACAAACGCTTATAAATGTTTGCATCCTGATCCGGCTGCCAGATGGCTCGAATTTGATTGCGCAATAGCCATTGTCTCGCATTTCTAGCGATGAGGTTCAGCGTTCATCGAGACCAATTTCTTGAATTTTAGTCGCTCTTTTATTAAGGGAAAGTAGTGCATCAGTTCTTCTACAACTTGAGCAATGCCAAGGAGATCTTCACCCTCGAAACCGTCCTTTTTTTTGCAAGATAAGATACGAACAAAGATCAGTGGAGGAGTTAAGTTTGTGTTCATAAATTTACAATAAAATGTGTTGTTAGGCAAATTTCTTTCGCTTACCTATTCTCTCAAAAGTCTCTGGAGAAAATCCATGCGATTGGAGCCAAGAAACAACCTCTTCACTGTAGTTCGTTATTGAGTCTGATGCACGAGGTATTGCTAGGCTCGTTCAACTAATGAGATAAGAAGAAGGAGCTGCTAAGACAAACTAGAAAAAGAAGGACGAATTATGGAGGGAAATCGCTTTTATAACAATTTTAGTCATTGAAAAGTTCACAGTACAAAGTTGAGTATCTACAGAAATTCTGAATGAGATCCAAACCAAAGCGAGTCTAGATGCCCTCATGAAATCAAGGCCAAGTGGCATCAAAAAGCTGAAATGGTCCACACCTGTGGGATTTTCTAAAACTGACAGGGCTGAAAAAATGACAAAATGATATGCATCTTTTTATGTCAAAAGCAAAAGTTGAGCAAAAACTAATGACCTCATTCACTGTGTGTCCAATTATTGCACCTTTTGGTAAATCCTACTTGGCTCCCGGAAGGGCCAAATTGAGAAAAAGTTCCAAAGTAGAATTCATAGGGGCCAATTCAGATTTTGGAGGAGTCGAAATGGTACCTGTCCCACCCGTCTTGGCTCAAGTAGTCCAAAACAAACCTTAATGGACCACATTGGGCCCCTGAGAAATTGGAGCCAATTTGGCTTTTGGTTTCAATTTGGCTATTTTCATTTTGCAGGCTGGGAATTGACCCTTGACAGGCAAACGCATATTTAAGAGACAGAGCCTTGTAATGCATGAACTTTCTCCACCATGGTACCTGTCCCACCCGTTTTGGCTAAAATAGTCCAAAACGAACCTTAATGGGCTAAACTGGCCCTCGAGAAATTGGGGCCAATTCAGCTTTTGGGGTCAATTTGGCTCTTTTGCATTTTACAGGCTGGGAATTGACCCTTGACAGGCAAATGCATATTAAAGTGACAGAGACCCTGTAATACACGAACTTTTTCCACCATGCGTCAAAACGGGATTTGTAAAAGAAGCCCCTGCCTCCTAAGAACGAATTTGTCCTGCTCCACGTCTAGTTAAAACGTACAGAATTTCAAAATACCCTTCAAGAATAGAGGAAACCTAGATAAGGGTTTTGAGAAATGTATCTCTCGAGTTATTTCTGCACTGAGGAGAGAAGTATACTTTAAACAAAGAAAATAGCTCGCGCATGGAAGAAAATATTGCCTTTTGTAAGACAATCTCATTCGGCTTTGCCAAACTTCAAGAACATACAGAGGAGGAAATGACACTTCACAACTGACCCTCATTATCACATCGCAAAGGAAAGTCATTAAGAATTGTCCTAATAGGTGAGGGTGGAAGATTGAAAAGCGCTAGCGAATGGTAGGAGACCTTTCCGCTCAATGAAAGGGTCTCAAACACTATCACTTAAAATGCATAAAACATTTCTACCGTTGGAGCGCATTTGAGTGCGTTTGATCAGAGCTGTTAAAGATGGATTAGAGTGGCGATATAAATCTTTGAAAGGCTTCAAACAACGGCGTACAACGAATTTGACCTTCTCGAAGAACAGGTCTCAAATTACATGCTAAATAACTGTTTGCGTTTGTCCCTGAGAGCCGGATAGAACACGCAACAAATACGTACAAAAAATACTTCTGTGCATTCAGAATATATCAAATTATATTCACCTGTAGTGAATATAATTATAGTGAATATAATTATGTTCACCAGTAGTGAACATAATTATGTTGATATATTCAGAATATATCAAATTATATTCACCTGTAGTGAACGGAAAAAGAAACGGCCTAACTTTTAAGGAATGTTCAGTCAAAATCTGCCGATTTCTCCTGCTTTTAACGCCATATTGAAAATAACGTTATCACACTGCAATGTAATCAGAGTGCGCACACCATCTGACGTCAAGCTAAATATTTACCTGACTAGCCTATCCACTCAGTTTGTAAGTGCATGTATTTTGTATAAATTTTTCATTCATGTAGGCGACTCTGAAAATGCAGTCAAGGCTATGATATTGTGATGACATTAATCTTAAACTTCATTGTTGCATTTGGCAGTGTTAGCGATAGAGGAAAGGAAAAACTTGATTATAATCACTGCAATCTTTTGCCGTTTCCATTGAAAATGGCTGCCTCTCTGGACCCAGACAGGGTGCTTTGCTGTTCGAAAGAGAAAGATAACTTTCTAAGGATAGCTCGGCTATTGATAAGTGGAGGTACTGTGCTATTGAGGGAGGTGTTTGACGATGAATGTCCTCCAAGTAATCTTCCCAAAATACTTCAGAATCAATCCACAGAGAAGCGACTTAGGGCTGCAAAACTCACCAAACCACAGTGGGACTGCCTGTACCCTTCCCCAGGGATGTACGGAAAGTCAACAGATTTTGATATAACTCTCCTTTTCCGGTTGCTGAGAAACATATGCAGCTTCACCCCTCCTGTCACAGGCTGGGATGCGCTACCGGCAAGTAAAGACTACACCTTTGAAGCCGATTTGGCGAGAATTAAGTACTTTCGCAATTCGATATACGGTCATGTGAACGAAAACATGGAAATAGCAGATGATTGCTTTGTAGTTCTTTGGAGAGAAATCAGCGGGGCTCTGGTAAGAATTGCGGGTCAGATTAGCTCTACAAAGTCAAAAGAATGGCAGAATGCAATAGAAAGATTCTTGCAAGATCCCATCACTGAGGCAGACAAGAGATATGAGCAGGAATTGTGGCAACTCTACCAGAATGACACAGAAATAAAGGAATTTATGAACAATTTAGATTGTTCAGTGAAGCATGTGGAGAAAGCAATTTACGTGGAAACCCGAGACATTAAAGATCGTCTTGGAGGAGAAGTCAAAGCCACAACACAAGAAGTACAGGGCTTGAGAAAAGAGGTTCGAGAGGAAGCCCGAGACATTAAAGATCATCTTGGAGGAGAAGTCAAAGCCACAACCCAAGAAGTGCAGGACTTGAGAAAAGAGGTTCGAGAGGAAGCCCGAGACATTAAAGTTCATCTTGGAAGAGAAGTCAAGGCCATAGCCCAAGAAGTTTATGGTTTGAGGCAAGACATCTGCTCTTCAGTTGGAGGTCAGCTTGTTGATCTTTTTTTCTAACTATATACTCTGCTTCCAGGATATTTTCCTTTTTCTCCTACATAAACGCTTATTAATCGCCCCAAATATTTTTAGTCTCTTTCTTTTTTTCTTTTCTTTCCTTTTCCCTCAGCTTTTTATTTTTGTTTTTGTTTTTTTCGTTTTGTTTTTCATTTTCATTTCAATTTAAATTTTTACGAAGGATATGTTGGATACGTTCTGAGTAAATGCACACATGCGAAAGTTTGCCTGCGTAGTTCCAACATCCAAATCGATAACAATGTGGAAATGCAGAGGCAAGGCCCTAAAAAAAAATTACCTAAAATGGGACAAAATTGAAACTGAAGACACTTGATCAGATTCGCAAAACGATGACGTGTTGGAACTGAACCAAGAGGAGTCATCGGATATGTATTTCTAAAGGCTGTTGCCCCAGGCTTTGTTTACAAAATCTAAGATTAGGGACAAAAGGCTGTCACGGTAGAAAACACTCAATTGTTGGACTAGTTGTTCAGAGAAATGAAAAACATGATTTATGACAAATTTTATGTAATATTTGAAGAGACTGAACGGATCTGCTCTTTTATGTATTTGATTAATTAAGTGCTTGAAGTCATGTTATTTTAAGTGAAAGGCAGTTCTCTTGTGATCAAATCTGTAAGCATATACCTAACCACAGGCTTACTGTGTGATTTTGGGGTCCAAAGGTCATTAACAGGAATACCTGGTAAAAAATTAAGAACAATAATAATAATATTTTAAAAAAAGCAGAATACAAAGGATAATGAAAGCGAGAAATATAACATGTTAAGTCTCCTTACCTTTATTCCTTAGTCGCCTTGTCATTTCCAGTCGTTTTGACGTTATTTTGTTGACTTTCTTTGTACTGCGTGTTGTGCCACTATACAAAAATAGAGGTCAGTAACATGACCTGAGAGGTGCTCCATTACCACCCCTTCCGACATAATTGCTTTGTAGTGATGCGTAATGCATATTTCTGTTATCTTTACAGCAAATACTTTCACTTACAATTCAATCTTACAGGCACGAAATCATGGTTCAGCGCATGCGCGGCGTGACAGCCTTTGGTCGCTAAATTAATATGTGATGTCGCTTGAGCAGTTGACCTGGACTCGCTGTAAGATTTGGACATCCTTCCATCTGACAGTGGTTGTTGAGTTGTTTGATCATCGAACTATATTTTAGCGTATTTTTTAAGTGCTAATTTTCAAGATTTCGTAGAAATTTTGAGAATAAAGGTAAAGACAGACTTGTACGGACACCCTATCTGGCTTATGTGGTCGCGTTGCATTATCAAATTTCTGACAGCCAAAGTCAGCATGCTATCAAAGGCTCTCAAATTCATTCCCACATCAGTGACAAATGGCTGTAAAATCAGGCCAACTCTTGCAAAATGTCTGTGCAAGATGAATGCGCCTCCAATACACCTTTCACGGACAAAACAAAGAACCACATTTGTTTCATATTTAACTGGAAGCCACCAGTTAAGCATTCTATTGCCCCTGAGAACTACTTGGAAAATGTCATAAGTAAACACAACTTTCAGAGATTACTGTATCCAAGGCCATAAAACAATTTGTAACGCAATGAGGTCATGGCTTCAAAAGAGTTGAAAAACATCTCTGCTTTAAACCCTCTAAAAAGCAACACAACAACAGCCATCAGGAATAAGACAGAAAAAAAAAAGAAGAGGCCACAGTGCGACTCGACAACAGAGTTCACTACAAACCTCTCAAAGCACCGATCGTAAAAAATATGTAGGAAAGGGTTAATGAGATCACTAACCAAAGGCGTCAGAGTAAAGACATTAGGGAGTTTAATAAAACTACGACGGCAAAGGCAAGGCGAACGTCACAAAACAAAAGGTTTAATGAGCAGAACAATGGCTGTGCACATGCGTTATAAATCTTTATAGATTTCTTTGTGCTCTCTGCAAAACAGCAACGTGAAAGGACCAAACTTTGCATTTTCTGGAGAACATGAACGTCGACGGCTGATTTTAAAATTTTTTTCTTATTTAAGGCTGTGTTCCAATCTCAGTTTCATTTTGACCATGAGAAACAAACTTTAGAGTATCGCAAGACTCCGTGGTTAAAATATAAGTTTATTTTTTAAGCGGCGTTGTCCACGGCCGGCATCGCTTTCATCCTTTCTTAAACCCCCTATTGATGACATGACTAAGAAATGGCTTTCACAAACTCCCAATCCGCCTAGATACACAATCAGCCCTTGCTGAAAACAATATCTATGTAACATCCGACCATCTCTTAAAAAAGGGGAAATCCCTTACGACACACTTGTGAGAGCAAAAAAACAATTGGAAGGTGATAATGCAACGCGACCACAAAAGCCACCAAGGGAATCCGTGCCAGTCTATCTTTACCTTTATTCTCTGACTGGCTAATAAACAATGAAGCTGCCTCATCTCTCACTCATGCGCATAACCGAGAATCCTTCCTTTAATACATTAGGTATTTACATTAATGACCTTTAGACCCCAAAATCACACACAGCACGCTTGGGCTGCCTGTGGCGTAGCCAACATAAAACATAAATATACAATGAATATATGAAGTTCATATATTTTGAACTGCGGTATTAGATACGTATGATGCACGATCCTCGCAGTAGGGAGCGCTATTTATGCAATAGCGAAAATCAGACCTGAAAAAAATCAGGCCTGTACGGGATTCGAACCACTGACCTCTGCGATACTAGTGCAGCGCTCTACCAATTGAGCTAACAAGCCAACTGGGAGCAGGCCGTTAAGTTGATTCGTAATAAACCCGTGATGATAAATCAGATACAATGTATATATGAAGTTCATATATTTTGAACTGCGGTATTAGATACGTATGATGCACGATCCTCGCAGTAGAGAGCGCTATTTATGCAATAGCGAAAATCAGACCTGAAAAAAATCAGGCCTGTACGGGATTCGAACCACTGACCTCTGCGATACTAGTGCAGCGCTCTACCAATTGAGCTAACAAGCCNTTAAACACGAAGGCGCGCTATAAAAGGAGAGGTCCCTTAGGTGCCTGGTAGACGAACAAAAGGAGCTAATGAGATGTTTACTTCCACCAGTATGGTGGCAATGATGTAACGTGCGAACCACCTACTTCGATTTCAAATTTACCGCCACAAATAAAGACAGTTTCCATTAGAGAAAGGAAATACAAATCTCAAAAATTCTTGTATTGTGATGAAAACATAAAACAATTTTGAGGAATGCGCCCGCTCTTCACTGCTTTGGATTAGCTATAGCTCAAGCTGACTTCACTCTTAAGAGTTCTACATCACACGACGGTTGATTGACAACTGATCCAGAGGTACCTAAGGCACCTCTCCTTTTATAGCGCGCCTTCATGTTTAAGAGTTTGTAAATATAATGGATATTCCCTGCAAGAACTGTTATTTGATAGCCTTATCATGTCCATTTTTGTGTGAGATTTCCCCACACTTTGTCAGGGCCTGCGGTATTTATTGCGTTCGACGAAAGAGAATGCACACTAATCGTGTCTTTTTTATGGAAATCACTCTCGAGGGTTTTATGGACCAGTCCCGAGGGGATTGATTGTGATCCATCGGCGATTTCAGGCATTGGGCGCCATTTTGGACTGGTGGACAGGCCGGACGATCCCACTGGCTAGAGGTACGTCCGTGGAGTACTAGTGACAAGTTTCCGAGTCAGGCAATTATTTGTCGGCCATTACAACATGGTAGACTATTATTCCAGTAACACGTGATTGAACCAGATTCGAACATTATCACATACTTACCATGTCAATAATACATTGTGGAGGTTAAATCAAGGAAATTTCGCTAAAAACTTTGTATGGCTGTTCCCTTCATTCTCGTCGTTCTCAAGTTTCTTGTTCGATCCAGCAGAGTTTTAGCTTAACACTGTAACCGCAAGGACCTATGCTTGCAACGGCAAACAAAACTTACGAATAGTATCGCAACTGTAAAGCCCTTTTCATCGTGCTACTGGCTAGAAAGATCCCCAAAATGAAATTTCTATTGTCTTGTACCTCAAGCCGGTAGGATCTCAGGAGGCTTAGAAAGTGCTACCGGCTAGAGGTACAGCCTGAATATTTAGTCAACTTTGCTCAAATTTTTACCACGGTTTGCTTTGCATTTTGTTATTGGAAAAGTCCGCCATATTGTAATAGCCAAAAAATAATTGCCTGACTCGGAAACTTGTCACTAGTGCTCCACGGACTTACCTCTAGCCAGTACGATTTAGGCACAACCCTGGCGGACTGGCTGGTTATATGGCACAAATAGCCTTGATATCATGTGCAAATGTTTTCTTGGCGGCCTTGAGCTCAATACACCAATTGCAAATATGGTGGCGAAAATGCGAGTACTTAAAGTGAAGTGAACATATTTCTGTTCACTCAGTGATTTGAAAGTCACTGCACGTGATGTAATAACCTGTCTTATTACGTTGCTTGCAGCGCCCATGGGTAAGATGAAGCAAATCCTGTGTTCTGATTGGCTACATCTTGCCCGCATTGATCCCGCGCATGAAAAAGATAGAATTAGAATTACGTTCGCAATTCTTGGACAATTTCAGCGATGGAAACGCAAAAAGTGGCAGGAGATAGTCAAAACAAAGAAATAGAAACGACTCTTGTGTGTTTGTTGTGGTACAAACAAAGTTGGCTTGCTTTCCAGGCTCTCGAAGTAAACAAGTCATTCCTAATTCTTATTAAAGCGAAATCTTTTTGGGTTATAATAAATCCGTTATTAACCAAGCCTGTTCGGTCAAGATGGCTGGATATTGGCCGAGTTCTTTTCTCGCATTTAAATGGACCTTGACTTTGTCTCGGTCCTTAAAAATGCAAAAAAAGAACTCGGCCACTTTTTAGCCATGTTGACCGCACATGCTTGGTTGATAACGCATATTTACAACACATCGGTACACAACAATTATCGGGCAGACTTCACTGGGATTACGACGAAAAAGAAAGTGGTAAATCGGTGTTCAATATAAAAACACTGAAAAGAAAACTGCATAAGCCACAGTTTACAGAAGTTTAAAGGTTTATCAGACAAAGTGACATTCATTACAATTTACGTATTTCCTTCGCTTAGGCCTACACATGGAACAGGAAAGCTAACATTTACAACATAACTATGTCTTAAATCGTCGCTATACCCGTATTTCTTTTACGCCTTGATATATTTACAAGCATATCCTAGGAAATACAGAAAATAGAGAACCTACTAGCAATTGTAAGCGACTCTAGTCGTGGAACTCCTAATGCAGTGGAACCTCTATTTAACGAAGTGCCAAGGGAATGGGGAAATTGGTTCGCTCTATCGAGGTAACATCAACTAAGTTGAAATTGTAAATTGGCCACCGTAACGAGTTAAAAAGCGGACGCTTCGAGTGTTAGCCCTTCGTCAGAGCGAAGGACGAAGGGCTAACGCTCGAAACGTCACCTTTTGAACTCGTTACGGTGGCCAATTTACAATTTCAACTTAGTTGATATTACCTTGTTACCCCCACCGACGCAGCACCACAGTTTCTTTCGAAACTTTCAGCCGTGATATCGAGGGTTCGTTATATCGAGGTTCTGTAGGAGACATTTTACTGTAACCGACTGAAGCCGGGCTGAAGTATCGTTCGTAATACCGAGGACTTCGTTATATAGAGGTTCGTCCACGGTATAAAACTTCCCGATTGGCGATGGCGCCCGTGTTCGAACATTTGCATTACAAAAGGCTTCGCAAAGAAAACGGAATGAGTCTACTGACCATGAAATGCCCCTAAGTATTTTAAAGAAGATTGATGAGCAATTCTTTCCGTACCTGTATGTGTGCTTTGGGAATATCTTCGGAAAAAACCCTTCAACAAATTGTAAACGGCTCGCACTCGCACAGAGAAACGATCAACGGGTTTTGCCCTTAGCCACGGTCTCTACCGAAAAGCCTCGCTTTCGTGCACACACCGCCATATTTACGTGCAGTTACTACTTCACGAGCGACGAGCGGGGCAAGAAAAATGGTCCGAGATATGAGTGGTCAGCGGTGAAATAGCTTTAATCAAGTAGAGACAAATCATTTGTAGTTGTTGTATTAA